AAAAAAAAAGTTTAAAGTTATGTAAGTTCTGAGGTCTAACAAAGTGTTCTAAGGTAGATAAATACAAGTTGTAAAGGTCTGAGGATGTTAAAGCTTAAGTAAGTTGCAAGGGTCAAAAAAAGTGTTTTAAGATATGTAAATTCAAGTTATAAGGTCTAAGAAAATGTTTTATGGCGTGTAAGCACTATCTGTAAAGGTATAAGAAAGTGATTTAAGGTATGTAAAAAACGAGAAATGTTTCGGATTTTTGCCCCCTCTGCTGTTGTCATATTAGGACTTCAAAAGTTTTAACATTAATTAATAGTTCTGATAAGCTATAAATGTAGTTCTGGTAAGCACTAGTACTATTACCATAGTTACAAGCTCAAGATTTTAAAATTCCTTTGGTTGCTTTCTAAGTATAAGACTTAAAGTGCTTCTCATTGTGCTAAAACATCTCTAGCCAATCTATATATCCAGCACTATGAAAAAAGTGTTAATGCTTTTAACCCAAATCATTTTGAGTCCCAAAGCTTCTATGACTCAAAAGTGTGAGTCTACTGCTCTTTCTACAATGTGGATTTCAGTATAGATTACAATGGTGATGCTAACATATCTAAAACTTACTTTTTTCTAAATTTAAAAAACAACAACAAACAAACTTATAAGCTTCCGGAAATCTACTTGAATCTACCTCTCCCAGGTCAAATGGACTCCAGATAAGTACTGTCAATTAACAGTGTGTTTCCCCACCTGCCTATTCTACTTACTCCTGGGTGAGGGAAATTCCTCTCAAACTACCAGGACCATGGGCCTAAAAGTTTCAGATGTACATCTAAAAAACACTTTTCCCCTAAGCCTTAACTTTACCTTCTGTCCCCATTATATATCTGTTCTAGCAGATTTCCAATCAAAGACTGCAAACTTTCAAAACAGCCTGCACTTTCCTAGCCCAGTATGGTCCTGTAGAGCCTGGACAGTGAGTGAAACAGCCTGCTCTTCCCAGCTCCGGGCTAGCATCTTAGCTTTCTTGGGTCCCCTAGGATGTTGAAATTCCAGAGGGCAGGAATCAGTCTCCTGCCTCACCAGTCACCTTCCTATTTCCTTACCTTTTACAGTGAACAAAAAGGAGGAATGTTAGAACCACCCACATTCCAGAAACAAGTGTCCCCCACCCCCGACCCTGCCTTCATAAGTTGTCATTACTAAACTAAAGGCTAATGCAATACATTTCTACCTCAGCACTGCTGAGTATTTTCCCTATATGTATGCTTCTTTATCAAACCCCATAAAACCTCAGCTATCACAGCCTTCTCTCTCTCTCCCTCTTATCCCCTTCTCAGAGGTGGCCTTTCTGGTCCTCCCACCCCAATAAATCTCTTGTGTGGTGTGATTTCTTGCAGTATTCCTTTGCCCTTTCACTGCCAAACCTTACACCAACAGCTGGTATCAGTTCAAAATCACCCTCCCTGCTGACTGTAATATAAAATCCACTTGGTTTTCCACCATTTTGCTTCTCTCTGTCCCTTGAGAATAGCCTTGGCAGTTTGATCCCAATAAATCCTTCCTTCTACCCATGAAGTGGTTCATTCAGTTCAGTGGATCACTGTGCCCTTGCTTACAGAAAACATTTAACAAAAAAGGAAATTAAAGAAGCACATAGAAAAAAAATGTTTTGAGTTTGTCTGCTGATAATGTTCGATAATCAAAGATATGCAACTGAAAATAATACTTTTAATCTTCAAATTAGTAAAAGAAACATTAATAGGGACAGCTAGATAAAAGTCCTTGATGCAAAGCCTGTGACCTGAGTTTGATCCCCAGGACCAACATTGTAGAAGGAAGAGAACTGACTCCTCCAAGATGTCCTCTGACCTCCACATGTGGGCCATGCGCCTGCTCTCTCTCTCTCTCCACACGGGAACATCAGAGGTGGGGCTAGGAATGAAGCTGAAAGGTGACCGTCTCCTTGCACATTGCACTTTTCTCTAAGAGTCATTAAGAGCGGATAAACTTGTGAAGAACTACAGCACAGGTCCAAGCTGAAGAGTGAAGACCGAGTTCCTTAATCAGCACAAGAAATAGCATAAATCCTTCAGGATGACTAAAATCTTAATGACTCTAATAGTGCTTAGAGTAACTGGAATATACTGATAGGAACAAAACACTATTAAATATGTAAAGTCTCATCTATATGGGATTGATTATAGAAACTAATAAAAGTATTTCTTAAATAATGAAAAATTCAATGTATTATTACATTTACTTATTTTGGGTACATGGGGAGAATGGGGTGGGGCGTGAGTATGCCATATGTGTGTGTGAAGGTCAGAGGACAACTTGTAGGAGTTGGTTTCCTCTTTCTACCATGTAGGTAACAAGGGGTCATGGGCTGTCAGGCTTAGTTGCAGATCCTTTACCTGCTAATCCCTTTCAGTGGCCCTTTTACTATTTCTAGAACTAGAAAAAGCAAAGATATCAGTCAGATTATACAGTGTAACATTGGATTTGGAAAAGAGTATTATGGAACAAAATGGATCCCAAGAACTGCATATGTGTGTGCATGTGTGTGTTTGTGTAAGCTGGTGTCTTTGGAAAGGAAGTACAATGAAAATATATGGTATTTGTGTCAGGAATCTGAGGTCTTGTGACCAAGATCTACAAAAGGGTTCTCACCCATGTCTCCATTCCCCCTACTTAGTCTCCAGGAGATTCTATGCCCAAGCGAGGAGTGTAGCAGTATTTTGTTCCTACGCTATACAAGTATTGTGTGTGTAGCGATTGGAGGTTAGAAATATCTATACTATCCATGGCCTTGGGAACTGTCAGGGCAGCTCTCACATCACCCTTGACCATGGCCAAGACCTCCTACTTAAGCAGGTTAATGCATGCACAAGGCCCTCTATTTGGAAATGGAGAGCAGGGGTGTGAGGTTGTGGACAACTGAGCTGGTAGTTGTATTTTATGTAGTATGAAGATGCAATGCATTAGAATGACAACCTCTCAGAGTAGACAATTCAGTAGCGACCTCTGAGAGCTTTGCAGGCTGCTTGTTACCATCCTTTGAGTTCTGAAACAACTTCACTGCAACTCTGCTCAAAGTGGTTCAATACATGGAGATGGTGCTAAGGACTGCCAAGACAGAGAGGCAGGCTTCTCTGAGTCCTGGAGTGACAAGCTGCCTGTGCCCTTTGGGTTAGCAGACACAATATTTGTTCTGTTCATTTACTGTCTTCAAAACTCCTTTAAGCCTCCCACAGTTGGTTTCAGACTTTTATAGCTAAAGATGTATAGCCTTTTAAGCAAGAGGTTTATGGAAGATTTAGGTACAGATGAAAAGCATCACCTAAAAAGTCTGACTTTCAAACCAGACACATGAACTCAAAAGCAAAATGGTATTCCTAAAATTTTCCATTCATATCAAGCCAATCTTTTCCTTCTGGTTTGATTTCTTTTACCAAATTCCTTTCTTGCTTTCCTTTTTAACCAAATATGGGAGATATTTACCCAAGTGTTCCTTAAAATAAATCTGTAGAGTCTTCCAAACTTCCTGCCCCAATAAGAAACTTACTTCAGCGCACTTCAGGAAAAGAATCTCATTTGCTCAGGAGAAGTATGCTTGAAGACAGAAGGAAACTGTTGAATTTCTATGAACTTGGTGTGTGTGTGTGTGTGTGTGTGTGTGTGTGTGTGTGTGTGTGTGTATAAATAAAATCATAACCTTTTAAAAGTTATTTGTGTGTGTGGGTGAGGCTGAAAGGACAACTTTTAGTCAGTTCTTTCTTCTCACTGTGGGCTTAGAGAACCAAACTTTGCAGACATAGAGGCAAAGAGACATTAGCTGGCTTAAAGACATTTGGCTTCTGCTAAGTAGAATTATCATTCACACACAGGCCTGTGTTCTGCACACCTCTCACTGTGCAAAATGCTTATCATTCATTGACTCCATGGACTAAAAGGACCATGTACTAAGAACAAAGGAGCAAAAGGGAATGGAGGTGGAGGAAGTAGAACTTACCATCTTTTGGGAAGAGAATATTTGCATGTCACAATGAAAGAGGGTTTTTCTACTTTGATGCTACTGGTATTTGAAGTCAGATTATTCTTTTCCTCCTTATTTTTAAAAATAGATTTGTATTTTGTGTGTGTAAGTGTTTTGCTTGCATGTCTGTGCACCAGGTGTGTGTCTGGACCCTAGGAGGCCAGAAGAGGGTATTGAATCCCCTGGAACTCAGAGTTACAGACATTTGAGTTGCCATGTGAGTGCTGGGAACTGAACCTGGGTCCTATAGAAGAGCAACAGATGTTCTTAACTGTTGAATGACTGCTCCGGCCCCTTCCTTATTTTTAACAGACAAGTAATTGTGTATTACATTCTGTGGAGGCAGAGAACTCTCTATGGTGGCAACTGTCCTGTGCACAACAGGATGCTGAGCAACAAGCCTGGCCTGTACTCCTTCAATTCCCACCCCACCGCAACATTTTTCTGAAAACTAAAAAATGTCTCCAAATATTTTGCCTGGTTGAAAACAATGTAATATATAAAAAAGCCTATAAAAATATGGACATGGGCTAGAAAGATGACTCAGCAGATAAGAATGCTACTCTTTTTTTGTTTGTTTGTTTTTTGAGACAGGATTTTTCTGTCCTGACAGTTCTGACTGTCCTGGAATTTGCTTTGTAAACCAGGTTGGCCTCGATCTCACAGACATCTGCTGGGATTAAAGGTATGCACCCAGCTAAGAATGCTACTCTTGTAGAAAACCTGAGTTTGATTCCCAGAACCCATGTTGGATGGCTCAACTTCCTCTAACTCCAGCTCCAAGGAATCAGAAACCTTCTTCAGGCCTCTGTGGGCATCTGCAAATAAGACACATACTTATAACTAAAAACAAATTTAAATTAAAAAAAAAAAGATTGATATAGGAAGTATCCTAAGCATTGCATAGAATGATTCTAGGGATACCAAAGCAATGAGCTGTAGTCATGTTGCCCTGTGCCAGGATATGACAAATACCTACTTGTTTTGCTGACCAGAGGCAGCATGCTGAGGTTAAAGACTGAAATGTAAAGCAGCTGGAGCAGCCAGCTACCTTTTTTCCTTCAGTTCCATCATTCCTCTTGAAATGAGCTGAGCTGACCTAGGGTTAAGGATCAGACATTCAAGTATTCCGAGAAACACCTGTGAGCAAAACCCCAAATGAGAGAGGTGTGCTGAAATTAAGCACCTCTCTTCCCATCCCATACACACAGGACTCAAAAAGGACTCTGAAGCAAGCTTACTAGACTCCTAAAATGTCCTGCCTTGGGTAAAGGCTCATCTTCATAACCTGTTTCTAGAACGTCATGGCTGAAGAATTATATACTAATTCAAGCCTCAAAGATACTGAGATGTTCTAGGACACTAAAAAGTTCTTCCTGTTTGGTCATTTGTTGTTATACATTGACCTCTATGACCTGTATTGCCTACTCATTCCTACTGTTACTCTGCAACAGTCACAGAGCTTAGGTGAATTCTGTGAGATGATCTTGCAGTAGAAACATAATGACGGGTTAGTAAATTCAGATTTTAAATTTCATTCCATATTCTCAAAGATTAAGAACCCCAAAGAATTTTGTTTGTATGGGTTACAGCTATTTATATTTAGCTTTTTAGGAACTGAAACATAAAGTTAGAACACAGAGCACACAAGCACATATTCCATTACTAGTGAGAAGGATCAAGTCAGTACACACAATGACACTCTTGGAAAACTCCACCCACCACCCACTTCTGAGAGGACAGAGTGAAAAAGACATATAGCACTGTAGGATATTATGGAAACAGTTTGGATCTTTTGAGTCCTGGAAAGAACTTTAGGGTCCCCTGGTCACACTTTAAACCTGAAGTGTTGGATTAACAACTACACCTGAACTGGAGAAGCCAGTGAGACAGATCCCAGAAGAGGATAGCCCTAAGTCTGTGGTATTTGTCAAAACCCATTCATCATCATGAGGCCATAGGTACTTTGGGGGAAATTTTCTTGCCTGTCTTTTTTGTTGTGTTTTCCTTTCTTTTTTCTTTCTTTTCTTTTTTTTTGGAGGGGGGAGGGGGTTGATTTTTCAAGACAGAGTTTCCCTCTGTATCCCTGTCTGTCCTGGAACTCTGAGGACCAGACTGGCTTTGAACTCAGAGATCCACTCACCTCTGCCCAGGCCCTTTCCTTTTCTTTTAAGCATCAACTGTTGCCATTACTGTATCACATACAGGCTTGGGTTAATATCTGGAGATATAAATTTTTCCATTTCTGTTAGATTCATTTTCTTCTCCTCCATCTACTATGTAGGGGGAAAAAAGAGCAGAAATAAAAGCACATTCACCTTTTAACCAAATTTTCTGTTTTGAGCCATAGGCTATTGTCAATGCTGATGGTTACCCTCCAGAACATAACAGCAGGAACCTATTGCTGAAGCCACCACATCCTTGAGTTAGAACATAGAGAAATATGGACAGTATCATCTAGAAGCATCTTCTCTACTGGCTAGTTTTCAGAGCACTGGAAGATGCTATGTGTACTACAGGAAGAGAAGTGTAATTATCAATCTCACCCAACTGTGAACCCTGTGAGTTACAACAATATGCAATAGTGGTGTTCATGTTATGAGAGTAACAAATGGATTTAAGGTCCCACTCCAGGAGATGGAACCCATACCTGACACTGTCAACAAAGCCAAGAACCCATAGATCGGTGGGTTATGGACCCTAAGGGAAAATCTACTAACATTATTCTACTAAATGGACATAGCAATAAAATACTTCCTAATGACTTACTGCTACCCCATAGATCAGTGCATGTCTCAGCCCTCATAAGAGAAGCTGCTTCTTATGATAGATGCAATTAACTCAGAGAGACCCACAATAGGTTGACATAGAGAGAATAAGAGACTTCAGAGCTCTCGGTCCTAAATGAGATGTCTATATTACACACACTCTCTCAAGGCTCAGGGATCTATTTGGAAGAGGAGGCTGAAAGATTGTTAAGAGCCACTGTGGTGGATGACTTCAAGAAAACTATTTTCCAAGTACAATAGGCAGATGGACATATAAACTCTTTTTTGTTGTTGTTGTTGTTGTTGTTGTTTTGTTTTTTTCGAGACAGGGTTTCTCTGTGTAGCTTTGCGCCTTTCCTGGAGCTCACTTGGT